GGGGCTCCTGGCATCGCTACTAGGAGCGAGGACGCTACTAGGGGCTCCTGGCATCGCTACTAGGAGCAAGGACGCTACTAGGGGCTCCTGGCATCGCTACTAGGAGCAAGGACGCTACTAGGGGCTCTTGGCATCGCTACTAGGAGCGTTCTTACCAGCAGTAACAAGAAACTACTAGGGGCTCCTGGCCTTACTACTAGGAGCAAGGACGCTACTAGGGGCTCCTGGCATCGCTACTAGGAGCAAGGACGCTACTAGGGGCTCCTGGCATCGCTACTAGGAGCGTTGTTACTAGTAGTAACAAGAAGCTACTAGGGGCTCCTGGCCTTACTACTAGGAGCAAGGACGCTACTAGGGGCTCCTGGCATCACTACTTGGAGCAAGGACCGGAGCATTCTTACTAGTAGTAACAAGAAGCTACTAGGGGCTCCTGGCCTTACTACTAGGAGCAAGGATGCTACGAACGGAGCAAAGGGCATCGCTACGAACGGAGCAAGCATGCTACTAGTGGGCCCTTGAGTGTGCCGGGGGAAGAGCAGTTGGCTCAGCAAGAGTACCTGAGGTTGATGGACAGATTCTGCCCTCTGTTCAAGGTCTTGGACGGGTGCATTTGTTGTGTTGTGCAAGTTCTTTCTTCAACACAGAAGGGGAATAGTAATATGACGGGCAGCTGGGTGGTACAGGATTCTAAGCCAGGCTCATCTCTTGCATGTGTAGACAGATACACATTGGAAAGAACTGCGGCAGGTTCTTTCATCTACACTCCTCGCTCTGTTCAATATTGCAAGACTTACTAATTACTTGTGTTTTTAGGTCAGTTCTTCATGCTAACAGTGCTATTGTGCTGAACCCCTCAAAAAAAGAAGCAACACAGTATTTCCAGTTGCGCTTCGAACGTTTAAGGAATGACTCACAAAGATGTTCCTTACGAAGCACCCAAAACATAGTCGGCCCCATCAGCGTTTTCAACCATTGCCGCTTTAGGTCCTCCTTCGCGTTCAACCATTCGGGACATCTTTCCTTCCTATCGAGATGTTGCCGGGTTCCATAAGGTAGGTCTGCCGTCTGCGGGGTGGTGAGGTATGCCGAGATGCAGTGTGGTGCAAACTAAAAGCTGTCTTTGAGTGTTTTGTTTTTTTGGGGGGTCCCACTAGTAGCGTCCTTGCTCCGTTCGTAGCGATGCCCTTTGTTACTGGCCAGGAGCTACTAGTCCCAGGTGTGCATCTCCAAGTGACACATCCATCTCAATTGCACCCAGTCCGGCTGCCGTGTTCTACTTTAGGGTGAGGAGTCCGCTGGCGGAAGCCAAGGGATGATCCTGGATGGTCCACTTGGGGATTCAATGGAACCCCCCGACTGGGGCTTTAAATTGATGAGGTTCTCCACACAAGAGTTTTGATTTTGGTAAGTATGTGGCAGGGGCAGTTGGATTTATCATATTTATCCAGGTGTTCAACACGACTAAGCAACCGATAGGTGTCTGCCCGAACCTGGTTCAGAGCGAGTCCAAGCTACCAAGGTGACAGATATGGAAGCAGCCATCGCGAAGTGGAAGCACGGAGGTGTGGAAGTGGGGCACGTTACTGGGAGCAAGAAGCTACTAGGGGCTCCTGGCCTTACTACTAGGAGCAAGGACGCTACTAGGGGCTCCTGGCCTTACTTCTAGGAGCAAGGACGCTACTAGGGGCTCCTGGCCTTACTACTAGGAGCAAGGACGCTACTAGGGGCTCCTGGCCTTACTACTAGGAGCAAGGACGCTACTAGGGGCTCCTTTTTTGAGTTCTTCACCACTTCACACAGTTGGCGACAGAGGACGACAGAGGTGTGTTGAGGCTCAACAAAGTGGACAGAGACAAACAGAAACAGGTCGCTGATTCTTGCTTTGACCAGCGAGTCTCGGGGACCAAATGCGTCCTCCTCTGGTTCTACGAGGTCGTCACTTCTTGGTGAGGACCTCGTGGACACATCGATTGTTTGCGAGTCTCAGGGTTGCGGTCTGGTGTTGTCAGTCCCCAGATTTTGATAGATTTTGCACTTTAAGTCTCCGGGCTTTTCCAAAAGGAGATCATGGAACGCGAGACCTTAAACTGTCTGGAGGTAGAGCAACTCGACGATTTGGGCCCTTTTAAAAGTCAACGTTTTTCTTGCAGCAACAGCCCACATCTCCCCAAAGAGATCCTTCATGTCATTCGCATTGGAACAGGTACGACCGAGATTCGCAACAACCCCGACATGCAGGCTGCGGGGTGACGGTGTGTCCACCCTACGCAGGGACCCCAGTGATCATCATCCCCCACGTAAAGAGTCAAAAAAGCTGGGGTCAATGGCCTCCAACCTACTGGCGATGCGGTGGCCTCCAACCTACTAGCCAAAGGGGGAAAACACCAAGGAGCTCGTTCATTCCGAAGGAGATTCACCCCAACAGTTGAGACCCTAGTCGCGTTCTTGCTCCTAGTAGCGATGCCCTTTGTTCCTAGTAGCGTTCTTGCTCCTAGTAGTAAGGCCAGGAGCCCCGAACGTAGCTTCTTGTTACGTCCGTAGCGATGCCAGGAGCCCCGTTCGTAGCGTCCGATCGCTCCTAATTTCCGTTGAACGACTCCAGACTTTGGCAAACAATTCGACATGCACCTTCAAAGGCTTTAAGAGGGTGTTCCTCTAAACCGGCTGTCTGCGACTGATAAGGTACAATATGTTTTGTTTTATCTCAAACACTTAAGAACACAAAACGATACAAAACTCAACAATATTGGGTTGTTCTTTATTCTACTGTATCCATCCGAGCCTCCTTTCCGCATGAAACATGTGAATGCAAACAGTTCGGCATTCAAACGCATCGATCCGCATCCTCCCGAAAGCTTTAGGGCTTTCCCGAAATCTGTTTCATGTCTGCTGTTTGGCGCAGCCCATCGGCAGCCTCAAGGGTGGTCAAGTGGGTGTGGAAAGACTGCTGGATTTGATGCAGGATGTGAGAGCCCCCAGGGCGAAAAAGAGTGGCGCTGGACCTCAAAACCACACCTTCAGACCGCCAGCTCTGGACTCGAAACCAGAGTTCATGTGAACCTTCTTGTATAGAAGAGAATGGACACAGGCCTGTGCCACAAGAACTCATCAAATGACTTCATGACTTCATGTTTTTGGCCACCCTCTCAGGCCGTTTCTCCTCCGTTTGTGGTGTTTCTCCGATTCTCCGGACGAGCCGCCACATCGGTCGATCCCGCGAGATCAACGTGTCTGCCGGGAGAATCTTCCAGGGCAAAGAGAAGCACCGGGGACGCAAGAAGATGTGAAACCAGACTGGACAGCTGGTGGGTTGGTGGGACTTAAAGGCTCAAGAGGGAGAACCAGACTCTGAGCAGACAGCTATGGAGCCTGGACAGCTATGGAGCCTGGACTCTGGATCGGGGTCTTTTTGGGTGCCTGGCGACAGGAGTTTTGGATTAGATGAACATCATGTTACAGGTGGTTGACAGTGCTTGTTGTTTTCAGACTTGGCGCAAAAATAGCCGATTGCATGTGGGTTGCGGGCATTGGGTTTGGGAGCTCCATCGCCAAGTGCATCAGGTCACACGTTCATCCGTACCGGTCACCTCCCGGCAGCAGTTGCACGGATGCGTCGCATTGGGTGGAAAAAACAACAATCATCCCGTCGACATGCTATCCACACAAACAAGTGAGGTTGTTTGTTTTGTCGAGGTTCTCGAACCATTCACTTTGAAGTCCCTGGTGCAAATCACTTAGACTAAGTCGGTTTGCGCATTGACCCTTGGACAAGAACCTACCTTTCGCCCACGATGAGCTGAAGAGTGGCCATCACCGGTACTTTTCAATTATGTCTCAAAGTTGAAGATGCAACCCCCTTTGTTCCTTCTTCTGTTGCACTTCTCATATTGAGATTTTGCTGCTTTTCTTGCTTGTTGGACAAGCCCATCAACATAAGATTGTCTGATCTCCATCAGAGCGAGTTTGTCAATGCATAGAAGCCCAAATCATTTGGTTGGCTACATTGTAGTTTAAGACCTGTTGAGGGTCTAGATTTTCGGGGACTTCTACGGTGGCTAACTTGAGTCTGTGGATTTTGAAGGACTGGGGTTCCGACAACTACCAGGACCTCACACCGGAGCGGAGTAAGCTACTAGGAGGCATCGCTACTTAAGCTACTAGTTTGGAGGCCCCAATTGCTGGCAGAATCAAATGCAATTGGCAGCTCCGAACGTCACAGCCCGGTTACGCCATCCCCGGTTACGCCATCGCGGTTGAGCCGAGGCTCGTGGAGAACATCACCTCCTTGTTGCAGCAAATGGCCGACATGGCACCTAAGGGAGCTAAGAAGGTGGAGGACTGGCGCCAAGGGTGCCAACGTCTCGTCTGAAAAACCACTTTCGTCTCGTCCGATGGAGCTTTGGGGGCGGTTGGGCACTGCAGAAATGCCCAAAAGCCTTGGAATGTGGAAACATGTGGAAACCACTTCCAGATAATTTGGATGTTCCTGGAGTTTCCCTACGGACTTGCAGAGATGTTCCTCCTTTTTTCTACCCCCGCAATTCGGACTGACCTTTTTTGCGATTCGGGTCCCGATTTGGGCTTGTGTGATACAGATAGTCCGGTCACATCATGCTCTTGATTGGTTACCCCCTGGGGCCACCATATTCAGATGTTTTGCAACCAAGCTCAGCCAGACAGAGCGCGGATTTTGAGCGCCACTTGTCCTGACTCCGCCGCACGAACGTGCCGTCGGAGAAGCATTGTGATGGCAATGTTTTCTGTGGCGCTGCCGAGAAGGGGTGGTGGGGTGATTTTACTTTCACGCGTGCAAAATGCAGTGGCGTGGTTACGCGACATGGATGATGCACTGAATTTGAGAAGAAGAAGAAGAAGAAGCAGACGGAGATGGAGCAGGAGCAGGAGCAGGAGCAGGAGCAGGATGAGGAGGAGAAGGAGAAGGAGAAGGAGAAGGATAAGAAGTGCAGGAGGAGGAGATGAAGAAGAAGGAGCAGAAGCGGAGGAAGAGGAGGAAGAGGAAGAGGAACGCCCAGAACAGAATATATCTCCTTTGGTGACTTATGTTGCGAAACTTCGGCCCCCAGCTCCGCTGGAGATTACAAGTGCATCGCTAGTAGCAACAAGTGCCTTACTGGTAGTAACAAGAAGCTAGTAATTACAATTCTAATTAAATTCTTATTGTTACTACTAGTAAGGCACTTGTTACTAGTAGCGAGGCACTTGTTCCTAGTAGTACAGCCAGGAGCCCCTAGTAGCGTCTTATGCTGCACCTGTACCAAAGATGTAGTTTGGAACGGCCGATGGCGGGCAGCTTGTACCAAGATGCCGGACATGGTGGACATTTGTGGACTATCTTTGGCAAATTGTGCGACGTCTTGAAGCCCCGAACGTAGCTTCTTGTTACTGCTAGTAAGGCACCTGTTACTACTAGCTTCTTGTTACTACTAGTAAGG